TCTAACTGATTCAAACGATAATACTACTTATTATACCACACGTTGTGATATTGCTTAGATATGATGCGCAATAGTACTGGTAAGTGCGTATTTTTCACAAGAACTGGTGCACGAGCGCTTAGAAATCTAGTATCTGGTATCTAGTATCTAGATACTTTGTATTATTACCATTTCGCGTGATATCCGACCACTAGTGACTAATGTTCAGTGTAGTGAGAGCGTAGTCTAATCTGAAGTTTAAGAAAAGAGAAAACGAATGATGTAAGAGGAGGTGACGTCTAGTAATGTGAGCCGATCAGCCGCATTACCGAATACCTGCTACATACTGAAAGTCACTTCACATTTATCGATTCGATTATAATTGCAACAAAGTATAGCAAAGTGCACCCAACCGGCTATTTCGCCACTTAATCTCCGGAAGTGCTTAATAGCCTACTTCTTCGGTCCGTTCTTATCCAAGTAAGGTATCTGATAAGGAAATTATTTTCATAGCTCAGCCAGCGGTCAGGTGTAGCACTAGAAAGGGGTTGAAAACTTCGATCGATCGATTAGTGGCCTCATTATACATTTTCTTGAGGTTTTTAGGTTGTGCGGTAGCAAAATATTATTGTTGCATTATTTACGTTTGTATTACAATGGGCATATTGTTATTAAAGCTGGCTACAATAGTCGTTTCGTCAATAGTTTCAATACGTCAGTCACAATTCGGTTCGCGGCCATCTGGTTCAATTGAGCGATATTGTATATCTATTGATTTACAGGCACCCGAATCGAGAGACATCAAAAATACCAATCTAGATACGCATTTTGCTTTATTGCTAATACTTGCAGCGGGCGCAAACATCGTTAAAATATTACGTTCATAGTATATACCATTAACGCGTGAATGTATGAATGTTTACTAACTTTAGCCATTTTTTTATTCTGTCTGATGAGGAAGAATAAACTTATCGAGTCACAGTCAGATATAGATAGTAGTAACAGATAGTTTGCAATTACCTGAATTCAGACAGAAGCAAAGATTGCATACAATAATCTACCGCTATCTCGGTACCGAGCAGAAGAAGGTATGCGGTTGTTTTTATTCAATAACAGTCTCATTCTCCCTCTTGCCCCATCAAGAGTGAAAGGAGTGATTTTCTTCTTCAAAAAAAGCATAAAAATGAACCAAACTACGGTTTACTGGATACTTTAATTTTTTGATTAAAAACGGGGTTAGTGTGTTAAATAAATATCCAGGTCAAATTTTATATACATATATTAATAGAAGACCCGTTATAAATATCGTGTCAGGGATTTTTAGCATATTTCTGATATTTTTCCCGTTGAGGGCAGCAACTAGATTAAAGAGTGCAACGTACCTTTAAAAAATACACGATATTTTGCGGTGAAATAAGGCAACACGTGTAATACTTTAGTTATTTTTACACAACACGACTAAGTATCCCTTTTAAGAGGATTATTGCAGGCCACGGGCTCAACTACGACTGTAAAAGAACTTAATACGTTAATCTTTATACAGAAGAGATTAAGTTAGTAATATTTTTAATGAACTGTTTCTGTGCCTAACGGAAAAAGGGGACTGACGGATTACCTGATGGTAAGCTATCTTCTGTTTGTTTTTTATGTCGTAAGGCGGCAAACCAGCAGACGGATTACCTGGTGGTAAGCAATCACCAGCTCCAAAGGAGTTGCTAAAGTTTTGCCGGTCTTATGGGGATTTAGTGATTGAAGTGGGATGGTGGATGGAGAATGATTCGGCTTCTACAAGTCTCTTTTCGGCTTAGCTTCAAAAGTATTTATTTATTATAAAGTAATAAATGTTGAAAAAAACATTTAAAATCTTCGTATATTCAAGAACGAAGTATTTGCATAACTATTACTATGATGTCCAAATATTTAGAATTGTTAACTCGAGTGGGTAACTAAATCGATTTAAACAGTTTCTGAACAACATTGAAGTTGACATCGTTTCTCTAAGTTTCACGGTCAAGCAATGAAATGTTGTGATCTAATCTCAGTGGGAAAGTTTGTTAGTTTGTCTGTCAACGTTGTTGGAACACTGGTTTGTAGCTAGTTCTAATCTTTGCTTGGGTAGAAAACTAGTATTAAACCTGGCCAGTGTTGTAAGTTTCTCTTCATATCAATAGCAAACTCGTCTTAAATAGACTAGAACTGTATCAAGCATTATTCAAAATTTAAAGAAGCCCTTAGAATTTCTGAAACTGTTGCAGTTTTTTGTTGAATAGGTATTACCTACTGTATTTACCGAGTGAGGAAGGAAGTTAATGGTGAGCCATGGGTAGTAAGTAAAGTAGTGAACACCAAGAACACATTCCTGACGTGATTATCGTGTGCAGAACTTGGCAATTATGCATTGCTTTCTAGAAAAATGTTACGCACAATTTGTTATCAACACACATACAATTTGTAGCGTACAAGATACACGCTCGATGAGTATAATCGACTTAATTATCAAGTAGCTGACTGCTCCATAGAGCGTTAATAACTTATGTGGTTCGTTACCAAGTTTTGATTTAATGAAACGCGCTGATTTACCTAATTCAGGAGGTGTTCCGAGGCGATAGTTTCGCACAAATTGTGCCCATCCTGCTTGTTGCGAGGAAAACTAATTAACTCGTAGTTATAATAACACTTTAGTCTCAGTCTCCAGGATTCACTCTCTGTGTTGGTAACTTTTAACTTATCTTAGATGCGAATATGTTATATATAACATACGATTGACTTAACTACATCTTCAGGGTTGTCAGGTGTTATTTCTGCAGAGCATTAATGAGATGCGTCCACGTGTAAAAGGGTTGCATCACATCGAAGGGATAATTAGAATGCATAATGAATCTATAAGTAACATGTGGAAGGAAATGTCGACCTTGGCGGAGTTCACTTTGTACAACGTTATTATGTGGGAGAGATGTGACAGCAAAGCTGACGTTATAGGTATGTTATTACAGTGTTTATGCGCCACTTAGGAAAACGTGTTTTCGAAGTGTTAATAATTTGTAACCACCTTATCACAGCCTGCGGAAACATTGACGTCGCGTTCTTTGTATACCATATAATCGTAATAAGAGTTTGTATTGCTCAAACCTAGTAGTTGGTAATTGATATTTTTATGGTATAATGTAAGGGTTGGGTTAGCTAGTATTACTGGCCAGCATGCGATTATTAAAGACGAATATTTTAAATTTTAAAAAAGGTATAAATAAATTCTTAAGTTCATTACGACTGTAATCGGTCAACTTGGTATTGGAATAGTGTAAATATATGACCTAATTCCATGGAATTTTGATTGTTAAAATACTAGATACATACTGTGAGCTTTTAATCAAATAATAGATTATTTATTTATCTATTGCTATGACTAAATGGCATACCAAACTACTGAATATCTTATGTACTAGTCTTTCATATATTTACTAACACAGTACGCAAATTAATAGTGTGAATCAGTGAGTATAGATTCATGGATTGATGTTAATGTCCCATAGCAATTTGATCCTGGGTAAATAATGAATGAACACAAGTATTAGCAGATTACTATATTTGTTATCGTCACACAATTATAACGATTTAAATATTCTTGCATTTAGTAGTTGAATGTCGGTAATTCGGTATAAGTATAAAACACAATAGAAAAATTGTATCTCGCGTAAACCCCTCCTCAAAATACACAATAGATTAAAATTACATAATAATAATAATATTTCTTCATTCATACTTCATTCTTATGCTTTGATCCGCCACTTAATTATTTTTTGTTTTTAAGGTTATAATATGTTCGCTATACTTATATAATTATAATAAAGTCAATTACAAATTAGGACAATATTTTGGTTACAAAAGCGAAGGTGGCTGATATGAAAATATTTTGGTTATACTTCTAAACATTTTTTTCTTTTAATGTTAACTTCACATAAAAAGGTTTGTAAAGAAACCTTCACGAACAAAATGTATAGCTTGGTACCTATATAGTAGTTATCGGAACAATAAATTCATCTACCACGTAAATATTCTAAGGTGCTAACTATATATATACATACATACATAGGTATGAAGAAATGGTAGCTAGGTTCACAAAAGACTGATGTTACGAATATTTACAGTAAAATTATGATATCTTTTTTGCTAATTATTTTAATAATGTTGGTCTTGTTACTAGTTTAGAAATGTGGAGATTGATTATGTTTTTTGAAGGAAGGATGAGGAAATAGGAAATTGTGACCTAATATTTGTAATCTCGAACTCGATGTGTTTTCCGACTTCTTGGCATTTGAAGTTTAAAGTCATACCTAGTTCATTCAAATGAGGCAGATGCACGCTGCGAGAAGTATGTAATTCGCTGCACTACTTCAACAATCATTTAAGTAGAAGATTACGTAGCGTCGTGTTTCAATGTAAAGTAGGAAGCGGATCATTGAGTATCATGTTAATGCTGATATTAACAAACCTCACTGGCTCACGGCAGCACTTATGTATGCCGGCTTCCCTGACTGGCCCGACAGGTGCGCGGTAATCGCCTAACTCATCCGTAGACCCGTTTTCTAATTTCTCTCACTGCTAGAAAACTGATCTCTATTAAAGATTGTATTGTATGTTAACGATATTAGTGTCGACAGTAGCTGAGACCACCTCTTCCATAAAAACATTAATAGAAGCGGCGACAGTATAGATACGACAGTCGTCGCGGCATGTCAATCGTGTTCCGCGCGCCCATTGTCTCCGCTATACAATAATTAGTGGATATTGCACCCTGATTCACAGACGCAATGACCGAGAAACACGATTCAATCAAGGACCCACAGTTCGTACCCACTTCCTATCGTGTTTATACATATTTACACTTTCAATACCGAAGTGAAACTTAGGGGTCGATAGACAACTTTCGAAAATTACGAATTTAGTTTTATTTAGAAAAATTCCGTTGTAAATCAAATGAGCGATATATGGATTAATAAATCAGTTGTGTGTTTTTGTTCCAGTGGAGACGCAGGATACATCTCAGCAAGTTACGAAATGAGGAATAATGTCAAGTGAGTACCTTCTTTTATATACAACACATATACAATACGCCGAGATTGCACATCAAATCGCGATACACACTACACTTACCTAAACACATGTAACAACAAATTAAGAGTTAGTCACAGCCCTAATGAAAGTCACTAAAACAGTTTTAATTCGTAAAAACGTGATACAAAATGAGTGTTGCGTAATGGTTTGGAACGAGATCGTCAATAAATTAACGGTTTATCTCGAACACACGTATGACACTCAAACACAATCTTCATTAAAAATCGTTGTATTAACGACGTTGTTAAACAGCACGTGCTTATCACCGCCAGGAATCGAGACTGGCTACGTACCTACACTATCGCCGAGCTTCGACAGGCGGCGGCCTTTAGATAAACTTCAAGAACAAACAATGTGTTAAAAATATTTTTTTAATAAGCACGTACATTATTTTTATTATCGTTCTAAAATACGTTTAGTTTACCTATTATCACTTATCAGACACAGCTAGACGTTGTACCTACATAATTATTTATTACTTAGTTGTTTTCATTTTTTCAAGTTAACACGTTGTATTTTGTCCGGAGTTGCAATGTGCTGAACCGACGGTGACGGCCCGTCATGATAACAACATGTAAATTACCTATTAAATATGCTATCTTACGAGAATTTACCCACTTGTCTCAGAGTTCCCACAATTTGTAAATTTAATGGCATGCCTGCGGCTTCACGCACTTGTGCCTACTTGGACTTTCATAAAAACTTGTTAGCATAAACGAAAATTAAAATTTCAGACGTAGCTATAGATCTACACGCATTTTCCCGTTAATAATTTGTTAATAATTTCAGTATAATATATATTTATTTAATATTTTTGCATCACCCTTATTACAAAACAAAAATCATGTTTAGTCTAGGTTTAAACCATTTAGTCAGGAATTTGAAATACAAAAACTTGCTCAATGGTTCAGATCTAGACTGAAGAAAAACCTTGTTTTGTGATAAGGCCGTAAGTTTATTCAGAATACAGTCAGCTAGCTTTCATTAACCACGGGTTTTCGAGTTCAAAACATTTACATTTCAACCTCTAAAAATCAACCTATCCCTTATAGATAAATATGTAGATCGACGGTTGATTTGTGTTAAAAACCTTATTAGTTAATCCATGTTTAAAGGATATGCGGGACAATAAATAGCCAGTAAATAGATAAAACAATTTATTGTATCTTAGTTCAATACTAAACATAAGTAAACTGACGATTGTATTGTAGGTAGGTACTTACGTATAGTGTGGATACAAGTATCGAAGTTGTTAGCAAGATCTTTGTCAGTTAAGTTCTTGTGCAAATACTTTAGTTTGCAATGTTCTCCTCTGTCATAATGTTGACCATATCTGTACTCCCATACTCGTTGGAAACGGATTTGGCGCGTTTGTGACTCCGATACGTACAAACAAACCAACATCGGTTTTTCAACAAATAAAGTAATAATTTACACAACCATCATTTGTGATGTTATTACGCAAAACAAAATTGAGATTAACTTGCGAGTTACTCGCAAACAAACGTGGAATTTTAATCAGAAAAATATAAATTCAAATAAGGCAAAGAACTCCAGAGTCGTGGTTAGAATTGAGCACATTAATTACATAAGTACACAGCAGGATTACGTATAACTTGTACACTTGAGAAATAGTTAATTCTGCTAAGAATTACTTTACTAGACAGAAGTATTATAATACTTTAAAAGTGCCGTACAACGCATTTTTAATGGCCACAATCGAAAAATTTGCCCTTTATAAGTGAATGCAGAACATTATTTTTGACGCAGACTTATGAGACCCAGTCGCGTAAAACACTTCTGGTTTTTATACCATCATGGCTAAATGATTAGCACCTTTTTCTTCCAAGTGTTAACAGAATAGACTGTCTTTACGTCATTGTTTTTGTCATCTCCATTCCGCCTCCGCCAGTTCGGCACCTAATTTAAATACTTTATAAATAATTCACTTTGCTCTGATTAACGTAATTTTTGTGCCACGAAAACATTTCCTCTAGGCGGGCAGTTATCAAACGCGTTTCGCTGTTCATTCCCATTCGGATATTTACCGGCGCAGGAATTTTCAATCCAATTTTTAAGGTAAGATATGTACAGATCAGCGTTTATTTTTAGACGTTGATATATAATTAATTTTATAATGCTGTTGCTTACTGTGTTGGTTATACCACCTACGATTTTTACTTATATATACGTAGATCATTTAAATTATTCAGTCGACGGTAATTTCATTGGCGAGTTATTGATCAATTAAAGGGCATTCATATAATGCTCATGCGGCGACACGACCTTGCTTGGCAAATACACGTCCAGTGATGTGGCCGCGTGTACTCTGTGTAGTCATCACCCGTCTCTTCGGGCAATGCCAGGTTCTGTGCTAATAAAACATATTAGAAATATAAACAGCACTCACGTTTACTCCAACAAAACGCTCTACGTGGTTTTCCTTATCCACCTATGATAATATTATTGATAGCAAATGAACCAAAATCCTTTGATTTCACCTCTGACGATGCCGCTTTAGGTATCAATAAGAAAATATATTTTTTTGTACAATTTGGTTGGCGTCTAGTACAAGAATGAATATGCGTGCACACGTCATATTTCGTGTTTTTGTATAAGCACCATAAAAATATAAAAGTGCCAGTGAAAAGCCTTAAATATTTTTATGTTCAATAGTAACGATATGAAAAATAAAATTTAAAATGTAAGAATTTGTAGCGTGCAGAAATAGAAAATTTTGTAGAACACCAATCGAGGCTGCTAAGCGGTCTTCTGATAGTAGGCCTCTTGAAAGAAAGCGCTTTGGTGCCTAAGACGCAAATTAACTGTTCGCGTCTCCTGAAGGGAATTGAACGAAAGAGACACCATAATTCCTGCCAACTACGGGATAGTGACCCGTTGCTCTTTTTATGTGTTACTGATGATCACCGAGGAGGTTTTAAGGAAGTAATTATTTAACACCGTCCCTAGTCTTTTTCTCCAAAAGCTAATCGCCTTCAAGGTTTTCGCGCCATCAAATAAACCGATATATTTTGTAATGGCATCGCAAACGCGTGAGCCGGCACCCCGGCCGTTAACAAAATTGTCGTTGCGACCTAATTTGTGAACAAACCCTGACTGAAAGCAATTTAAAGGTTTTTAAAATAATGAGTCAAGCATAAATAATTGCTTGATGATATGAACTGCCATGCTAGAATAATTTATTTAAGCATGGGACTTATCCAAAGGCTACGTTCAAGGTCACGTTCACGTTATTAAAGGTTAAAAACCCACCGCAACAATAAGTTCACATCTAGATTGATAAAGGCGTAGATTTGGTAAAGGCGATATTTTACTTTACAATTGACCCGACCACTTGAAAACTGGTCAAGTTGACACAAGGCACATTGCATCACTTTTCTACGTCTTCACGTTGCGTTCTGAAATGATTAATATCTTGAGAGGAATAAGTTAAAGCCTTTATCATTAGTAATGTTGTAATAGAACCTATTGTTACAAAGCTGATGTGATAGTTCGTTCAACTCTTGAACTTATGCAGCCGTGAGTAACGGTCGATCTCCATACAATCGTCCTGGCAGCACGCGCACAGCTCAGGCCGCTCCTGCCGCACCGTTACTCATATAACCAATCACGTATCATATATTTTCGATGACACTTAAACCCATTGTGTTCACGTTTGGATTAGTTCCAAGCATTGTGTGCTATCGAGAAAGCGGTTTCACTAGTCGTTACTCGGTTTATTGAATGCTTAATGCCTTGCACCTTAGAAACTTTTAACGTTTCATGTGTTTGATCACTGCCCAGCAAATCCTTTAATATAAACAAAAGTAAGAGTGATCGTCTTAATTTACCTTGACAGAAGCCTAGTTTCGCTGCCATTAAGACGGTCAAAAAGGTTTATTGACCTCAACGAAGACAATGAACTTGTCAAACCGGTCTACGAGTAGGAGATAAAAAATCTCAATACGGTAATATCCAATGACATCGGATCTGTTAGTTGCATAACAAGTACCGCGGTGGTTGCGGAACAGGTTGTTCCTCCCGCTGAGCTCGGCCTGACCTCCCTGCCGCTTCCCATACTGCTTCGTCTATCTAGAAGTTCATCGTAATCCATCTCGTTTGTTTCAACTAATATTACACGAAACAACTTAATTTATTTGTCCTTGGAGGACGGCGAATAAACGTAAATAACGAAAGACGAAACGGAGACAATTAACCTGTCTACTTTATCCATATAAAATGGTGCCGTCTCTGCGTAGCTAGGCACTTAATTGCCTTACTGTTTAATTTCCTCAAGTGATTTCTTTGCCTTGAACGCTGCCCTGCTCCTAGATTTTATGCTGTTTTGAACAAAAACCTCCAATGGCATCGTCACGGTCGTGCTCGTTGTTTTTTTAGGTAATTTGTTGGCTAACATCAATGCACTCAATAAGTGTGTGTTATAAAAACGTATGGCTACGAGCCCGCAACAAGAATTTTTGTTTAAAGTAAAAAAATCTGATATCTAAATATTATAATGACAATTGTATTGTTATAAAACTGGCAAAGCGTTGAAACCTGTATTTATATTCCCATACAGTGATTATCTCAAGTATATAAGAATAATGAGTCGGTAGCCTTCAGCCATCACGACAATTTTATTGTAAACAATTGGTGCTACATCGCTACACAATCAAGCCAGCGCGTGCGCAGCGTTTCCAATAAATGCTTAAAACTCACGAGACGATTCACAATGCCGATATTTTGACTGATTTATACTGTTGACTTTCTATGAAAAAATCTAACAAACGTATGTAGCTACAATAGATGTTGGAGTCAATAAAAAAAGTATCAGTTTTTACTTACCTCTTTACTTAAATCTCAGTAACACATTTACTGATCAGGCAAAATTTTACTGGAATACGTGTTACCGGGAAGCCAATAAACATTCAATTAAGAGATTAACAGTACTTTTTCTCGT